CAGAACACTAATACCTGATTGGTGGAGCTATGAATTGATACAACCATTCAAGAAAGCAATTTGGAACTAGACTAAAAAATGTTATTAAAATCACCATACTTTCTGACCCAGAAATCCCAATGCTAAGACTATATCTGAATAAGATCAAAGACAGAATAAAGGGCCCAAAATATTCCTACTGGCACTTTTTTTTTGTGGTAGCAAAGAACTGGAAGCAAAGTAGATGCCTATTAATTAGGGAATAATTAAACAAGTTGTGCTAGGTAAATGCGATTAAATAATATTATGCTGTAAGAAAATATGAATAAGAATAACTCAGGGAAATATAAAGACATATGATCAGAGTGAAGTTAAGAAGAATTAGGAAAACAATATTACATAATGTCTATAACAATGTATTCCTTCTGACCACACCTCCCTTAATCTGCCCTCCCCCTCATCCTAGCCCACCTTTTTCTCTTAGCTCCTTCCCCTCCTATTTCCCTTTTGGGTAAGATGGATTCTATAGCCAACTGGAGATTTTATACACACACACGTGTGCACACACACACACACACACACACACACACACAGAGTGAGGTTTAAATGTTGCTCACTCCTTCTCCCCCTCATTTTCCCCTCTACTGTAAAAACTCTTCCTTGTTTGCATCTTTTGAGATAATTTTCCATATTCTTCCATACCTTTCTATCTCCTCCAACAGATTACCTATCATCCCCACATTATTACTTATCTTCAATTTCTCCCTGTCTACTGTCTCCTTCCCTGTCTACAAACATGCCCCTGCCTTCCCCCATCCTCAAAAAAATGCTCACTAACACCTTCTATTTCTTCTGCCCTTTGTGGCTAATCTCCTAGAGAAGATCATCTATGATGGATGCCACCACTTCCTCTCCTCTTGCTCTCTTCTTAGCCCCTTACAATCTGGCTTCTGGCTTCATCATTCCATTGCTATTGCTCTCCAGTTACCAGTGATCTCTTAATTGCCCAATCCAATGACCCCTTCTCAATCCTCATTCTTCATGACCTCTCTGCAGCCTTTGACCCTGTTGATCCCTCTCTTCTCCCTACTAGTGTCTTCTCTTAGGTTTTCAGGACGTTGCCCTCTCCTGGTTTCCCTCCTACCTATCTGACTCCTCCTTCTCAGTCTCCTTGTTGGATCCTAATCCAGATCATGCCCTCAAACCACAGACATCCCACGAGATTCTGTCCTGAGCCCTCTTCTCTCTCTATACTACATCGTTTGGTAGTTTCATCAGCTCTCAGAGATTTAATTATCATCTCTGCTGATCCTCTCTACTTACCTCTATTCTCTCATCTCCAACTGAAAGTGCAATAGACACCTCAAATTTGACATGTCTAAAATTTAACTTATCTTTCCTTCTAAACTCTCCCTGCCTCCTACCTTCCCTATTACTTTAGAAGGCAACACCATAGTCTCAGTCCCATAGTCTTACAACCTAGGTATCATCTTCAACGCTTCATTATCTCTTCCCCCCAACATACAATCCAGTGCCAAGGCTTTTTGATTTCACATTTATAACATCTCTCAAATACACCTCAGATTCTCAAATTCTCTCCTATGATAGTCACCACTTTGGTTTGGGTCATTTTCACTTCATGCCTGGATTATTACAATAGCCTGCATGTGAATCTGCCTGCTTCAAGACTCTCCCCCACTTTCATCCATCATCCATTCAGCCACCAAAAGTGTAGGTTCAAATATGTCACCCCCACCTACTTAATAAACTACAGTGGTTCCCTATCACATCCAGGATCAAATACAAAATTCTCTGCTTGGTATTCAAATCCCTTCATAAACTTGCCCTACCCTCTACCCTTCCAGTCCCCTATACTTACTCTCCAACATATATGCTTCAGTCCAGTCACATTGACCTCCAGGCCACCCCATGAATGAGATCCTCCATCCCTCAGCTCAGAGCATATTTTCTGACTGTCCCCCATACCTAGAATGTTCTCCCTCTTCTTCCCTCCTCTCCATCTCCTGGCTTCCTTCAAATCCCAACTTAAACTCCATCTTCTACAGGAAGCCTTTCCATATAGTTTATATGTGTTTGTATATATTTACATTTGTTTGCTTATTGTCTCCCCCATTAGTTGTGGGCAGGGACTGTCTTTTGCCTTTTTGTATCCCTGGAACTTAACACAGTATGTGGTACACAGCAGTGCTTAATAAATGCTTATTGACTAACTGACTGAATGACAGAACTCAGTGCTCTATACCATGTTGCCTTTCTCTGAAAACATGATTAAGAAAGCAGATTAAGAATTTTTTTTAGATTCTCTAGGGATAATAAGAAATATTATAACTGCAGCCTAAAATCCTTTCTAGTCTTTCCCTTTAGGTACATGGGAAGAAGAAAAGCTGATGTTTTCCTCTGAAATGGAATAAAAGTGACCACCAAATTTTTAACTCTTTTTTAGATAAGGCCATTGTCTCTTCACCCATCTGAAGTGATTTGGCTTTTACCTTCTGAAGAGTAGTGTCCTCCTTTACAGTCATAGATAAGACATTAATTAGAGGAAGGAACTCTTCCATCCTTAAGGGGAGTAAGGTAACTTCTGGAATATTAACTCCAAACTATGTATTAAAATATTATGATCTTTTCTTTGTTCAAAGTTCCTATAAATATTATCTCAAATCATCTTGGGTCAGAGAATCATAGCAGAGACCATAGGGGACATTATGTTATGTTAAATAAAATTGTTTCTAGCAGACAAGTCTGAACCATATGTGACAGTTTTAGTTATATTTTGTCTTCATCACCATGTTAGTATACCATCATCACCATAAGCTTACCAACATCTTCTCCAGAATCTTCTCCAGTAAGTGCTATGTGACCTTTCTGATAAAGTTCTCTTCTGATGACTCATTGTCCTCATAGAGGTAATTTTGGGTTCTTGAAGATGAAAAGGTGCTGACAACTCGTATCAGTTTTCTATCTATAAAATGGGGATGGTAATATCTACTTCTCAGGTGGTTTTGAGACTCAAATTAGATAATGTCTACAAAGGACCTTGCAAACTTTAAAAGCACTATATAAATGTCAGTTACAATTATCAAGTTGGAGATAAAAAAGCCACATGTATGGCAACAGATCTTGTATGCCTGTTATCTGGAGGCACAGTAGATGATGCAGTGGATACAGTGTTGGGCCTAGAATTAAGAAGACCCTCCCTAGTTCAAATTAGGTCTCAGACAATGACTAGCTAGCTGTGTGACGTGGTTAAGCCATTTAACCTGTCTCTTTCAGTTTCCTCAGTTGTAAAGTGGGGATGATAGTAGTACCTACATCCATTAAGGCACAGAGGAAACAATGACCCCGTACAGGTAGAAGAAAAATTTATACTGATGAAAGTTCAGAAAAAAAAAAGTCTTAAGGAGAAAAACTGAATTTGCAGTACAAAGTTTTGTTATTGTTATGGAGTCATTTCAAAGCTTTCCGTGTTCCCATTTGTGGTTTCTTTGCAAAGGCACTGGGGTGGTTTGCCATGTCCTTTTCTAGCTCATTTTACAGATGAGGAACTGAGGCAAACATCAGGGTCACAGAGCTAGTAAGCGTCTGAGGCCCTATTTGAACTCAGGTTCTCCTGACTTCAGGGCCAGCTCTCTATCCACTATGCCACCCTAACTGCTCTATGGTACAAAGTAGATAGAACAAATTCAGAAAAAATTTATCGAGCTTTCAACATCATAGAATTCAGAGTTGATGTCACAGGAAATAGATAGGAAGTGAAAGATCAGAGTTAGAAGGAACTCTGATGATCATCTAGGCCATTGATGTCAAACTCAAATAGAAATTCAGGGTGTTAACCCAACCATATCCTTGCAGGCTGCATATTGAGTTAGTTTTAAAATTTAATGTCTATCTTTATTGCATTTTTATTTATTTTGATAAATATTTCCCAATTATATTTTTTTTTTTATTTTTAGGCAATTGGGGTTAAGTGACTTGCCCAGGGTCACACAGCTAGTAAGTGTCAAGTATTTGGTCTGAGGCCGAATTTGAACTCAGGTCCTCCTGACTTCAGGGACGGCGCTCTATCTACTGCACCACCTAACTGCCCCTCCAATTATATTTTAATCTGGTTCAGTTGCACTCCCAAAGTGTTGTCCCCCGAGCTGGTGGTGTGTTTGATGCCTCTCATTCTCTCATTTTACAGATGAAGAAACTGAAGGCCGGGGAGGTCGAGTGATTTGGCCCACATTTACACAGGGAACAGGTGCAATTCTATCCCAGTTCCTTAACTTCAAATATAGCACTCTTCCCTCTTACCATGCTGCTGATTCATGTGCCATCCTAAGCAGAGCAGGACCCACTAACAAAGGTTAGTAAGATAAGGTCCCCGCTCTTAAGGAGTGTCCTGTTGATTTGGGGAAGACAAGCTTGCATATATGAAACAATGGGAGAATTGGGTAAGATGCAGGGTGGGGGGGAAGGGGGGGGGACCTGCCTTGGCTTGTATGATACTGAAAGTAATCACTATACGATTTCAGGAAGTCAAAGATTACACCAGTCCGGGAAATTTTCCTGGAGAAGGTGAAAAGAGCCTGGTATGTAAAGATAGATAGGCAGATGCTGGAAAGCGGGAGAGAAGGGGGAAGTAACACAGGTGGTGATCAGCACGGCATCCTATGCAGCAAGGTGAGCACCTGTTGAGTGGTGAAATAGGGTTCTCTGTTCTCAAAGGAACCCAGCTCTCCTCCTGAATGCTTCTATGGTCTTGGGAAAGTCACTTGAATTCTTCAGGCTTCGGTTTTCCCATCTATAAAATGAGGTTTCTGGATCTTTAAGGACCCTACCAGTTCTTATCCTTCATCTCTTACCTGTGATCCTGGGATTCTAGGCTCTAGCGGGTGTCACCTTCCCCTAAGACCCGCCCTTTCTTAGGCCCCGCCCCCGATCGGAAGATATCTGTCGGGAAGCCCCGCCCACGCCTCTGCGGTTTCCCTGGTGACCGCGCTTGGCGTCCCCCCTCCCTTCCTGCACCCTTTCATCCTCAGGGCATCCCTCGGCCTGGGGCCGGCGAGAGGCGAGGGTCGCGGTGACCTGGGCTGCTGAAGAGGCTGGAGGAGAGGGCAGCAGCAGGGTCCCGGGGCTGTCGCCGCCGCTCCAGGAGGAGGAGGAGGTGGAGGAGGAGGAGGAGGAGAAGGAGGGAAGAAAGAAAAACATTGGCTTCTTCTTTCCCGCCAGACAGCCCGGCTGAGGTTTGTGGACAGGGAGTGGGGATACCTGGGTGGAGGCGGGAGAGAGAGCCACCTAGCCCCCTCACACACCCCCTCCATTCATCCGTCTCGGACCCCTGTCTGGCCCAGGGAGGGGGCGCGGGAGGGAGGACCCCGCGGGGAGAGGAGCAGTTGGGCTGAGCCAAGGACAGGGACTTGGTCCCCACCCCACTTTTTGAGGGTGCAGGCTGGGTGGGGTTGGGAAGGGCATTTATTTTATCACCAGCCCAGAGTCCTTCAGCCTGCCCTCCCCCACCCCCCACCCCCAGCCTGGCTAGCTCTGGAAATCCCCCTAGCTGAGCTGAGTAGCAGAGCTTTCCACAGGCTAAATTAGCAGAACCAGACCCCCTCCCCACCCCCACACCACATACCCAGTGAGCACTCTCAGTTAATAATGGTGGTGATGATGATGACGATGACAGCAATACAATTAATCCAGACTTGAAAGTCAGTGGAGAGGGAAAGAAGAAAACTGAGAATCCTAGTTGTACGTGTGTATGTATGTATGTATGTATGTATGTATATACACACATGCATACTTATACCAGCTATCTATCTATATGGATATAAACATAGGTACATATATTCACAAATATGTGTGTATGTATTATATTCCCACACACATATGTAATCCGCATATAGGTATATAGATATATACACATATATGTGTATTTATATAATATTTCATATATCCCACATATGTCTATTCTACACACAGATAAATATATATAGATATATGCACACATATATGTGTATTATGTTTATATTGCATATATATTTCCACATACATATCTATTCCACACGTAGATATAGATAATTCCATTTTTAATAGCTCCAAATGTTAGTTTTCCTTACCTCAAGCCTAAATATGCTTCTTTTATTCTTGCTTCTATTCTCTCTCTCCTGCCAAACAGAAGACAGACAGACAGACAGATAGATAATATATCTAAGTATAGATCCATATATAGATACAGATACTAGATATTTATCATCCATCCATCCATCCATCCATCTATCTATCTATCTATCTATCTATCTATCTATCTATCTATCTATCTTAACCATAGTGTTGAATCCTTAGCTGAGTCAGGCTTGCTTGTTGGTTCCTACCTGAAATACCCATAATTTGTAGAAAACTGGGAAGTCAAGGGTCCTAAATAGCAAGCTCCAAAGCTCAGGTAGGCCTTAATCAAAAAAAGCCATAGACACAGTGCAAAATGTGGGAGAAGTTTATGTTTGTTTTATTTTTTGGTGGGGGAGAGGTGATTCACTGAATTAAGGATATGGTCCTATAGTAGCTTTCACTTTTTAAAAAATACACAAGAAATTTTAGGTCTTACTGCACATATAAAAATGTATATGTTCTAAAAGCTGACCTTATCCCTCTTTTTTTTTTTTGGTGAAGCAATTGGGGTTAAGTGACTTACCCAGAGTCACACAGCTAGTGAGTGTTATGTGTCTGAGGCCAGACTGGAACTCAGGTCCTCCGGATTCCAGGGCCAGTGCTCTATCCACTGCACCACCTAGCTGCCCCCCCTTCTTCTTTCTTTCATTATTACTGTTTGCTTTCTTGATTTTGCAGTTGGAAGTCCATGAGACCTGAGATACATCTGGCCTAACCTTATAATGTAAGTTAAGTTGGGCTTCCTAAGTTCTTTCCATATTTATTATCATACACACACACACACACACATATATATATATACATATACATATATATGTGTGTATATATGTGTGTGTGTGTATATATATATATACATGTATATATATATATATACATTTAATGTAATCAAAAAATGTTCGTTGACAGGATTGCATACCCATCAGAAAGTACTCAAATAATTCAAAATTATGAAAAGGATGTAACTGTTTCAGTGACTACTATTATTCCCTAATTCTGGCAAAATGGACCTTTCTGACTTTTTAAGAAAAAATCTGAATATATTTCATTTACTCTTAGTTAAAGTAACATTGCCATTACATCTTTCCTTATAGATGTTCATGGTAACTTGTGACATTGGTGTGAAAATTTAAGTGAATGTGTATTGGTGGGATAATTAAGTTATCCTGTGTTGCGGACACACACTTAGATTTCTCTTGAATCCACTTTGATTTTATTCAGTTGTTGTTTTTCAGTTATGCCCGACTCTTTGTGACCCCATTTAGGGTTTTCTTGACAAGGATACTGAAGTGGTTTGCCATTTCCTTCTCTAGCTCATTTTACAGATGAGGAAACTGAGGCAAACAGGGTTAAGTAGCTTGCCCTGCATCATACAGCTATTAAGTATCTGAGGCCATATTTGAACTCAGGAAGAGAGATCTTCTTGACTCCAGGCCCGGCGCTCTATCCACTGCACCATCTAGCTACCCAGTCCACTAGCAGCTGAATAATTCATTCATCATTCAACTAATGTTTATAGAGCACCTAGGATGTATCAGGAGTTTATACACTATTTAATACTTTGCAGTAACATTCTTAAAGCTTTTAAAGAGTTAGTGTTAGGCAGTAGTGTCCATCTGATGTCTCTGAACAGAGAAGCAGTCAGAACTATTCAAGCATCCTCCTAAAGTGCTAGATCCTCCCTCCCCACCCCAGCCACACCCCTCGACCATGGTTCAGGATGAAGATGGGCAGGAGGGATCCCCTTTGAAGAATTTTACTGGGGGGCCGAAATTTAAACTTACACCCCAGGAAGCATTCAGTCTTACCCAGCACTCTCAAACCTTTCATCCTGTACTTTTGCATTCTCATTTGTCTGTGCTAGTGGTGGCGGTGGTGGGGGGGAGTCAACTACTAGAGACAGTAACTGCGATACACAGTCAACCAGGAGATCAAAGGCCCCACCAAATTTCTTCTGAATACCAACAATGGAAAGGCTTTAGGCAACTCTTTGATCTTTGGCTCAGCAGGCCCTTCGAACCATATGTAGCACCTCCCATAAGCTAGCACCCTGGGTCGATGCCCCCTCTCTGCCTTCTACTCAGAATGTTCCCAGTACTTCTCAAAGACACTAAGCCTGAAACTTCTGGTATGATGCTTCTTTCTGTGCCCTCTATAGCTGGCAACTGGAGAAGATCCCCATCAACTCCCTTCTCTCTCGTTTTTTTCCTTTCTTCAGTCCCTTCCCTCCTCCCCGGGCCTCTTTCCATTTAGGATTCAGGAGTAGAATTCGTAACCAGGACATCTGTGACTGCAGTATAGGTGACCAGAGGCCTATGTCATAATCACAGAATCCCACTGGACTCGATCTTTGATGTTGCCTCTAGCTCTGAGTTATCTGGAGGGTTTGGGAGTATAGCCTGACCAAGCCAGGCTCGGGGAGAGTAACTCAGTTCAACGTAAAAAAAAAAAAAAAGGAGGCTTTCTAAACTCCGTCAATGTCAAGCTTACAGTAGTGAAACCTCATTCCACCTCATTCCAGGCAAGATAAACAACAATGGTAACTGTTTCTATCACTAATACTCAGAATGGGTGTTAACTTTCCCACAATTCCGGTCTCCTAAAGTGTAATACAAGTATGTGTCACTTTAATTAAGCATGGAAGAATCACAGAGGGGGCTTGGAAGCCATCTAGTTCAGTTCCACCAATTCCCAAGGATGGATCCCCTCTCCAACCCTGATATGAATGTCTGTAAATTAGATGCACTATATGATTTACCCACATGTCTGGTGAGTGGTTAGCCAGTGATGTGAAAGCCACTGCCTCCTGAGGCAGCTCATTCTACCTCTGAATAGCGCCAATTGTTGGAGAGTTTTTTCTTACCTTAAACCAAAATTGGCCTCTTTTCAACTTCTATTCTCTCTCTTGCCAAACAGAATAAGTCTATTCCCTCTTCCGTATGACAGTCTTTCACATTCTTAAAAATAACTGTCTATCACTCCCCACCTCCTAAGTCCTTTTCTCCATACTGAATATCACCAATCCTTTGAAGGATCATTTTATGCCCTAATCCCAAAGCCATTCACCAATTAAATTGTCCTCCTTGGGATGCTTTTCAGCTAATCAATTTCCTTCCTAAAATGGAGTACCCAAATTACTAACTCAGACAGCATTTACGTGTACTGAAATCTGTTCTGCCGCCTATCTTGGTATGAAGGTGACTCATTTATTAACCACCATGCCAGCTGAATGTACCAACAATGGGGGACAGCATTAAGCAAAGGCATGAAAATTGATTGTACTTGTAATGCAGCTGAGGACCAGCCTGTCTACATGTAGAGAGGTTCATCACAAGTATGTTGACCACAAGATGACCACAGCAACCCATGAAACTGTCGATTAAGGCATGGAGGGCTTACAAAATCTGAGTCTGGAGAGGAAAGTAACACACTGGAAAATCTTTGCTACATAGATTAGCTCTGGATTCGATTTCTTTTTCCTGTTTTGCACTCACTTAAAATATCTCAACTTTTTTCATTTGAAAATTCAGTTTTTACCACCCCCCATTCAAAGTTTATGCCTTCAGGCTTGCCAGCAGGGCTTACGATACTTACATTAAACTAAATTTAAGAGTAAAGGTGCTCCCGCTGCTAATGTTCTCAGATCAGAGGAAAGCAAAATGAAGGAACTGGCAGCTGAAACTTTAATAGTAGGAAACGTTGACTGAGAACTTGAAAAAAAATTTCCAGTTCATGTGGATGACAAAGAAGTCTTGTTCATTTCTATGTACCGTACTTTGAAATGACAAACTTGACTTTGTTGGGTAATTATCTTTTGGAGTGGATTTTTTTCTGTCCCATGTTAAAAAAAAGTATGCATTTTATATTGAACATAGATAAGCACATTTTATGGGGTAGGCACATTTTATGGGATCAATATTAATGCTTCCCAGTCCTGTGATGACAGGAGGCCTAGCTACTATGACTCCAAGTCACCACAGAAACTAATTAGGCCCTTCTATTATTTGGGGAAATTCCTGACTCCACTTCTGGCCCTTTTCCTTTTGGAAACTCTCTCCCCAAATCCCAAATTCCTAAATTCTGCTCTGACCACAAGCATTTATCCGTCTATCCCATCCGCCTCTCCCATTCCCTTACAAACTCTCATCATGACCTTCAGTCACTCACTCATCCCTGTGGTCCAGGTCTATCTCCTGCATTTTAATTTCCCCCAAAGCTAATACAGTTAGCATCCTAGGATTACAAATTTAGAACTGGAAGAGATGTTAAAGACCATTTGGTCTACCACAACCTCCCTCATTTTTCAAATAAGGAAACTGAGGAGGGGCAACTAGATGGTGCAGGGGATAGAGCGCTGGCTCTGGAGTCAGGAGGACCTGAGTTCAAATGGCACTTACTAGCTGTGTGACACTGGGCAAGTCACTTAACCCTGATCACTTTCTCCCCGCCAAAGAAAAATAAGGAAACCGAGGCTCAGAGACTTTAAGTGACTTGCCCAGGTCACACAGGTCAGGTAGTAGGTGACTGAGACAGAATTTAAACTCAGATCCTCTGCTTCCGAATCCAGTCCTCTTACTGTTATACCAAAGTGGTCAGCCAGTCCAAAGACTAAGAAAGATTCTCCCTAAAATTCTTCACCTCCCTGACCTTCTGTCCTTCACCTCTGTGCCTTTTGCTTCCTGCTTCCTTCAGGATCTAGTTGATGAATTATCTTTTTGTCCATGATAACTCTTCTGTTGGTCCCATTATATTCTCTCCTTCCCATTTACTTAGGTCTCCCCAATCTTACAATGAGACTTTCCCTAATTCCTTCTACCCATGAAGCTACTATTACATCTTCCATCTTCTTTGCATCACCAAATTTCTTGGAAAAAAGTAATTTATACCCATTACCACCACTTCTTCATTAACACAACACTTCAGCTCTGGCTGAAGCTATTAAGCTATATAGAAACTGCTCTTGGAAAGATCACAATGATGGTGATGATGATGATGATGGTGGTGGTGGTGGTAGTATTAATGATGACGGTGATGGTGGTGGTGGTGGTGGTGATGATGATGATGATGATGATAATGATGATGGTGGTGGTGATGGTGATGATGATGATGGCTAGCATTTATATAGTGGTATGTGCCAGACAGTGTGCTCAGTAAGCACTTTACAAATACTATCTCATTTGATCCTCACAACAACACTGGGAGGTAGGGACTGTTATTATCCCCATTTTACAGATGAGGAAACTGAGACAGAGATTAAGTGACTTACTCAGAGTCACACAGCTAGTAAGTATCTGAGACTGGATTTGAATTTAGGTCTTCCTGATTCCATACTCAGCACTTTGATCCACTATACCACCTAGCTGCCCCAACTGCCCTTTCTCAGTCTTCATCTCCAGGGACTTCTCTCTTGTAACAGGCACTGTTGACCACTCCATAGTTGAAATGTACCCCCTTCTCACCACCTTTTAAAATCCCTACTTTCCTTCAAACCTCAGCTCAACCACCAGGAAACCTTTCCTGAACCTCTTAACTAGTAATGCTTTCTCCCCAAAAAAGTAAGTAACATATTTTGTGTGTATTTTACATATATTTTGTATCCCTTATATGTTATCTCCTCTATACATGTTATCTCTCCCTATAGAAAGTGAACTTGTTGAGGGCAGAGATTGTTTTACTTTTGTCTGAGTCCCCAGAACCCAGAACAGTGGGTGGTACATAATTGGTTCTTAAAAAATGCTTTTCAGTTTATTGTTGATTAGAGTTTGATACTTTCTCCTCAAGTACCAATGCTCTTAGCACAATGCCTGACCCCTAGCAGGCATTATACAAATGCTTATTCCCTTCCCCTACTCCACTCACCTAGTAGTTAGCACTGTGGTTGTAGAAGCAGTCAGCATGATGGCTGAGCTCCTATGGTCAGTCAGCACAGTGTTGGATGAAAGCAGAGGAACCCCTTTAGACATGCTACTGACATACCAGTTTGCAGGGATGACATTGCCATGGGGTCTTTAAGGAAGACAAAGAGTTGGGCAAGGCTGGCCAAATTTGGTCCCCTTAAGTTTGGATTGTTTACAGAGTATGTATGACTTAGATGAGATTCTGTAACCTTGGGTAGGACGTCATTGAATTCACAGAGCAGACCTTTTCCCTAATATGGGTTTGTCTTTTTTTCTTGCTGCTGTAATTGTCAAGGAAGCAACTGGGGAAGAGTAGACAGAGCCATACATAGACCCCCTCGATATCTTGTGCTTGGCAATGCTTGGTATAACCCTCCAAGAAGCAAAGGAGGGTGGGGTGGGTGCTATGCTCTAATAAAGATTGGAACTGAGGAAAAGGCCTTTCAGAAACCGCTTCAGCTATATTTCTGATCTGGCACTTTTTTCTGAAAGTACCGTATCACTCTAAGGCAGAAATTCTTGGGGTGTGTGTATGTGTGTGTAATGGAATCACTTTGGCAATCCAGTGAACCTTAGAGACTCACATCTCAGAATAATGTGTTAAAAACCCATAAAATACAACATATAAGATGACAAAGGTAACTAATTATATTGAAATATAGTGATCAAACATATTTTTAAAAAATTTCATGGATCCTTGCCCTAAGAGGAGATTTTAGAGTCCACACTTAATACCTTTGTTTCTGAAGCACCATCTTCTCTGGTTTCTCCTTACATATCTGACTTCTATTTCCTCCTTTTTCTAATCTCTTAGGATGGAAGTTGCCTTAGATTCTGCCCTTGGCCTTCTCATCTGTCTTTAATCTCTTCTATTCCCACAACGATCACATCTAGAATTATGGCTCCCAACACCTGCATCTCTAAACCAAAAAATAATCATGTGGAATAGATATCCACATTTTTTATCTTTCTCTTCAAAAGTCTTCAAAAATCACTGCCCTCCCCACCCCCTACCCCTGTTTCCAGTAGCTTCCTCAGTATCTTCACCATTACAAGAGTAACTGCTAGCATATTGTGTTTTGCGGTTCATAAAAAGCTTACAATATTAACTCATTTGATCCTCACAGCAGCCCTGGGAGGTGAGTGAGATTATGATGCCCATTTTACAGATGAGGAAACTGAGGCAAATAGACCCTTGCCTAGGACCACACAGCTAGTCATTGCCTGAAGCTGGATTGGAATTTAGGTCTTCTGACTCTAGTACACTCTCCCTTGCTCTATATCACTGCCTCTATCTCAAACTCAACCATTCTAAAACAGTTTATTTTCCCCTGTTGTTGTTGTTCAGTCATGTCTGACTCTTCATGACCCCATTTGGGGTTTTCTTGGCAAAGATACTGGAGCGGTTTGCCATTTCCTTCTCCAGCTCATTTTGCAGATGAGGAAACCGAGGCAAGTGAAGTGACTTGCCCAGTGTCACCCAGCTAGTAAGTGTATCTGAGGCCAGATTTGAACTCAGGAAGATGAGTACTCTACCCACTGTTCCACCTAGGTCCCTAGACTACGTCATACTGCATATGCAAATCATTCATCAAGTGGCCAAAAGCAAGAAATGGAAAGAAGTAAGGAAAGTAAGCAAGCCCAAATGCTCCCTGAGTTGGATAAGTGAGTGTCTGCACATGAATGCTTCCAGTACCAGCTGCTATAACAGGATGTGGATCTCTGATAAGATTTCAACCCTTTGAAACTCGTCATGAAATAAATCCTGTTTCTGTTCTTTTCTCTTAGTCCACAATGACGACTTTGCCACCTGTGCAGATAGACTACTCAAAGCTCGCCCTCTTAACAAGAAAGAGGGCAACGTGTTCCCCAGCAGGCCTCACAAAGTAAGTGCCTTTGATTCTGGTGTTTTGGGCTTTTTTTGTTTCGTTTTGTTTTTTAATTTCTATGACCTTTTGTCTTGTTACACTTCCAATGGGCATAGAGGAAAGGTAGTCGGGGAATAGGAATAAGAGGAAAATTATGGAGTAAAGTTAGTTCCAAGAGGTTATGATATACTGACGTTGTTCATCAATTTCGTGGATCAAGTATATCCTTGAATGTGTCCTAATGTACCATTAGGTATTTAACATACCTAAAATCAGGTACCATTTGGTACCTAATGTACCAAATAGGAGTACCCATTTACTCCTATGCTGGGCATAGTTAAGTTAGGGGATCTTTGCTTGTTTCTGTCTCAAAAAAAAGAGGCCAGTATTTGCCACTCACAGTGGATTGGGTCTGAGTTAAGATCAGAAATAATGGCTCTGGTGTCATTGATGACCAGTTATAGTCTGAGTAAGAAGACTATGACAGAGATACTCAGAGAATATTAGAATTCAAAGGGATCTTCTCAGAGATCATCTATCACCACACCTACAGCATGACTCTCATCTGTAATATCTCTGTCCTGTGGTGATCTAGGTTCTGCTTGAAGACCTTCAATGACAGAGAACTCTCTCCTTCCAAAGACAGCCAATACCTTTTTGGGTAGTGCTAATCATTTGGAAGTTTCTCCGTATTATCTCAAAGTTGCCTCCTTTGTAACTTTCACTCATTACTCTAAGTTCTGTCCTTTGGATATAAATAGAACAACATTGCATCCTCTTTTAGATATGTTCTAGTTAAAAAAAAATTGATTTTTTTTAAATTTAAAAATAGAAATCACAGCTCTGAAACAAACAAACAAACCCTGAAAATAAATATGTGAAGTGATACCCATAGATGAGAAAGTAAACTGAGTCCCTACTGCTAACAATTTTTTTGCGTTTAAAGGCCTCTTAGTGATTATATTATAAAATATAGTATATTATATGTAATATATACATAATATGCAAGATATGTTAAGAAATTATTATAAGTTACATTATTAAAGCTTCAAAGTTTAAAACTGAAGTAAAAAAAAGACTTTATGAATATCCTGTCCTTGAGTACCATATTGATTTAGATTCTGGATCAACAATTTTTCCCACCTCGAAAATTTTTAGTCCTATGTAATAAAGACTTGAATACAGCTATTTATCCAAAAGGTTTAACTCAATTTGCTCAATTCTTTGTGCAACACTGCTCATCCCCAGTAGACCCATCGATGAGTGGTTCTCCTCCAGTATTTCTCCTCCTCTAGTTTCCATCTTTCTACTTGGCACTTCTGTTCTCTTTTAATTTTTTTTCCCTGTCATTTAAATTTAGGGCTCAATTGTTGAAAATTAAAGGTGAGACTGATACGTATCTGGAATTGAAATGGAAAGGGCTGACAAAAGAAGAAGCAGCTGGGTAAGTGTACCCTTCGCCTATAAAGTTTGTTTCTTTTGTCTTGATTCTGTGTTGAAATTTCCAGTTCCCCTGTTCAGTATACCTTTTTTCATTGGAACATGGCATTTAAAAATTAAACGTCCATTAAATAATGATGAATCATTTCTACTGATCTTACATATATCAAAGTCCTTTAATTTCATGGCTTTCATAATTCTCATATTTACCAAGGTATTATGATATCACATTTGCAATATTATAGTTAAGGTTTTGTCATTAATTGCCTCTTAACCTTCTTTTTAAGGTGTTTTTACAGTCATGAAGAAAAAAACTTGTATTAGGAGAGCTTATTAGATCCATATTTTTTTCCCTAATACTTTTATCTTAGCCTCTATTAATGTACCTCTTTACTTCCAAATACCGACTTAAAAGACTAAGAGGATTGGAGAATGTATAATGATACAGCTGACATTTATATAATTTTTTTAAAGGTTTACAAAGCCTTTATGAACATTATTTCATTTGGTCCTTACAATAGTGCTGTAAGATAGGCACCAGAGGTAACATTATCCCCATTTACCAGATGAAGAAACTAATGATTTTACATGGGGTAGATTTTAATGTGTTTAGATTTTTAAACTGTGAAAATACACGCTTAATTTTTTGGGATGCCTGATCTGTGGATTTGATTAATTTTTTTAAATCCTTGTTAGACAGGGAGAAACTGACAAAGACCTAGAACAGCATTTAAATAAGCATCGTTGTTTTTTACCTGTAGAATAAATGGTTTTGTTGGAGTCTGTTATGATATTGCTAAGTATTAGTTCTTTTTTTTTTTTTTGCTTTTAGGCAATTGGGGTTAAGTGACTTGCCCAGGGTCACACAGCTAGTAAGTGTCAAGTGTTTGGTCTGAGGCTGTATTTGAGCTCAGGTCCTCCTGACTTCAGGGCGGGTGCTCTATCCACTGCTCCACCTAGCTGCCGCAGTTAGTTCTTAAATGAAGACTTTTTTAGCATCTCAGAATCAGAGAATGGAATTGGAAGGAGCTCTCTCCTCAGAAACTGAGACCTAGAGAAAAAATGTGACTCTCTTTCATGTGGCTTATTGATAAAATAGTTTAATTTAATTTTGATAGAATCTGTGAAGTTCTTAAAAATTGCATTGAAATTGTATAATTGAAATAAGGAAATGTACCACTAGTGAAGTAATGAGTTCATTTCAGTTAGGAGTATTTTGATACAAAGGAGGCAATGCTTTAGTCATTTTTATAATGTAATAAACATTTTGTACTAATTTCTGATGTTTCCCAAGTATCAGGTCTACTGATCATTAGTGTATCTAGAACCTTTTTTTGGAAAACATGCTTACTGATGCTTTAATGAAGTAAAATTAGTGGGGTTAACATTTTTTGAAAGAATTTGATCCTAAATTAATTTAGGAGACTTCATAACAAGCTAGCTATACAATACTGGGTAAACTTAAAAGCTGAAATGATCCTCTAAAGCCTTGATTAAACATGCTCACTGTTAAGAACAAGTTGGGAAGGGAGGTAGCAGTAGGATGGAGGGAAGGGAGGAGGAAGAAGGAAACAGTGGAGGGATGGTGGCCTGAAAGAGACCTTTTATAACAAGGTGAAAAGAAGGGGGAGAGTATGAAGCTGAACTAGTGACCACTTGCTTTCGTGATTCATTTGAGCTTCACACAATACAAATGTGTGGTTTTAAATAAATTTGCATAAATAATTAATAAATTTGCATGCATAAAATATGTGTCGTTCTTTGCCAGCACACATACCTGTGTGTGCTGGCTGAAAATAAATACTGAATATTTAACTGCGTCAATATGCATGCAACATATGGGAGGATTACAAATACAAGTCCTTCTTACATGGTTTTAAAACATTTTCTGACTGATGAAATTTTAAATTAACTTTTATAAAGTAACTGTGCAATTCAATATTTCTGTGTTTCTTATGCTGTGTACTAAGGGGGATTTGGGATGAATACAATTTTCATTCTAACTTCATGTCCTTGTCACTAACAAGTGGCAGAGAAAATTCATGTTTAATACATTATGATGCTGTAGCTATTTTTAAAGGCAAATGTTATGTGTATGTGGTGCTGGAGTTCTGGTTTAAAGGTAAAGAAAGCAAAATATCTTTAAACAATTTATTTTGGATTTACCTAGTGCTTTAGATTACTTAGCAATGTGTGCAATGAACAGCTGCCCAAACCTTAGCAGAATGGGGTTTGCTGTCATATATGCATGTCCACCATTAGATGCCCCCCCATAAGGGGTAAGGTGGGCATATGCTGATCCTGATGCCTTTGACATCCGAGCTAAAGCCTCACTATGGTTTATTTTCATTGGGTCTGGAAGACTGAATTGAATTGGATTTGGATTCATATAGGAGAATAGAGAGCTGATTTTTCAGAGTCGGAAAAATCTGGGTTCAAGTTATGTCTCTACTATCTTTGGGCTGTGTGACCTGGGTGGGGCAAGGCACTTCTCAAGGTTCCCAGGCAATTTTCAAAGATAATCAATTACAAAGCAGGTCCCATTCTGCATGGCTAGAAGGAGTTTTCTCATTGGGAGTTCCTTATCCCGGTGAAATGATGGGTATAAACTTTTATTGCAACTACTGCCACCACAAAAAAAAAATTAAAGTTTGAAATACAGGATAATCAATCAACCAAGTACTTAAGGAAGAAATTATTTTAGAGAAAGGGAGGCAGACTGAGACCCAGGAATTCTGAATTATCTTGCTCTTCATTTTTGTTCATTTCTTTCATGTGGTAGCTAATAGAAGAAGAGAGACAATAGGAAATAAAAGGCTTTTAGCTAAAATAAAAAGCTGGAGCAGCTTTGTTTATGGAAACCTGAAGAATTGGAGGATTGATGATAAATCTTTAGAACAGAGTTTCAACAAAAAATTAAGAGGTGAATGTAAAAAAGGAAGATGCTCCCATTATAGAAAACTGAATCAGAATGGGAATTGGAGGAAGTGAAGAAAATAAGCATTTATATGTTAGCTACTGCATGCCAGGCACTGTGATTAGTGTTTTACAAATTTTTTTTTCATTTGATCCTCACAACAGCCCTGGGAGTTAGTTGCTATGCATTTTACAGTAAGTGAACTAAAGCAAATATAGGTAAAGTGACTTGCCGAGGGTTACATAGCCAGCAAGTGTCTGAGGAAGGATTTGAACTCAGGTCTTTGTGATTCCAGGCCAGTGTTCTATCTGCTGTGCCATTGTAGTTGCCTCTAAAAGAGACAAAAAAGTAGACATTTCTGTGAAGATCCTGGTATAATGAATAGAAAGTTGGCCTCAGAATCAGGAAAACCTAGGTTCAAATCTTGCTGCTGATATATACTGCTTGTATGAGCCTGGGCAAGTCACTTAACCAACCTCTCACTGGTTTTGAGAGATCACTAAGATGGGAAGTTGAAGAGAAGATGCAAACCTGCTTTGGCAATGGGAGCTCCCTTATCCTGGAGTCTCTATACCAATGAAATCACAGGTCCAGACATGTCATTCATTCGTGTTCATCAAATATGTCCAACATATACAGAATCGTGGTTCATAGGGAGGCTGAGTAGTACAGTGGACAGCGACATGGTGCCATAGTGCATAGAGCACCGCGCTGGAAACCAGGAAGACTCATCTTCCTGAGTTCTAATCTGGCCTCAGACACTTACTAGCTGCATGACTCTGGGGCAAGTTACTTTACCTTGTTTGCCTCAGTTTCCTCATCTGTCAAATGAGCTAAAGAGGGAAATAGCAAACCACTCCAGTATCTTTGCCAAAACAGAAAACCCCGAATGGGGTCATGAAGAGTAGAACACAACTGAAAAATGAACAACAAAAACAGAGAGTAGTACAATGGAAAGATGAGTGACTCTGGAGTCAGACTTGGGTTCATATCCTGCCTCAGATGCTGTGTGACCTCGGGCAAGTTGTTTAGCCTCTCCTTAGCCTCAGTGTCCTCATCTCTAAAATGGGGCTGTAGGGGGTGGCACAGTGCATAGAGAACCAGCCCTGAAGTCAGGAGGACCTGAGTTCAAATCTGGCCTCAGACCAAACACTTGACACTCACTAGCTGTGTGACCCTGGGCAAGTCACTTAACCCCAATTGCCTAAAAAATAAACACATAAATAAAATAAAATGGGGGTATGTATGAATTAGATAGGCTCTGAAATCCTTTCCAGCTCTAAATTCATGATCCTATTATGTTTTATAGGGGATATAAAAATCAGTAAGACATGTATATGCCTGTCCTCAAGTATCAAATGCTAGTTGTAGAAGAATTAATTTTTAAAAATCCTTAATGAGGAAAGATACTTAAATGTGGGCATGCATCCTAGGAGTTTAGTTCCTAAATAGTTTCATTCTTTATAGCATCTTCTGTAAGTATGCTGCAGTACTTGAAGGATATGGGATTCCATCAGTGTGAATGCTCCCTCCACCAAGGTGGAGCATGCCCTCTTTAACTAATTAGATATTCTTGGCAAACTTCAGGGGCCCAAGAATTCATCATCAACCTGAGGCTAAGCTTCTGAGGAGCCTTTGAACTTAGCTGGGTGAGTCCTTCCCTGACCAAGATTCAGTCCTTCACTTGGTGGCCTTGACTTGGCCATGGGTAAGACCTACCAGAGCATAGGCTTGGGCTGACACAGCCTCGGGAACTCAGACTAAACTCTACCCCGTGAGAAAGCATGAGAGTGTGACTTAAGGAAATGATCTTTAAATATGATAGTGATTAATTTTTTTTTAGCTGATTAGCTAGGTGGTGCAGTGGATAAAGGGCCTGGAGTCAGGAAAACTTGATTTCAAATCTGCCTTCAGACACTTACTAGCTGTGTCACCTTGGGGAGGTCACTTAAATTTGTTTGCCTCGGTTTCCTCATCTGTAAAATTAGCTTGAGAACACTATATATCCTTTCCCATTATGAAGTGATTGGCCATGAAGTGGATAGAGCACTGGGCCTAGAGTCAAGAAGACCTGAGTTCAAATCGAG